AATGTAAGTGTATCTATATCAGTGCTTTTGTAATTGTATTTCTGAGGGTCTGAAACAGATTAATTTAATTTACATTATTCCTTATGGAAACAAATTCGTTCAGTATCGGCACTTGAACAGCCTTCTGGAACGAATTAAGTTCATATCCCGAGGTACCACTGTACTATAAATTATAATTATCGGAACATAAAAATAATATAAAAAAAAAGGAGAAAAAAGGTATATCGGCAACGCTTCTGCAAACGGCAGGACTTGATGTTGCTGTCAGGTGAGCATTAAGTGCCAACTTTGCAGCCTCATATCTTGGTAAGTACTGACCCTAATATTTTTTATTTTCATCCTATAGCACTTAGAAAAAAGTTTTCTTTATTTGTATAATTTCTTTTTTTTTTAATTTTCAAAATATTCGGGGCACTGGGTGAGAGAACGTATATATACGTTCGGACTGTTTAGGGGTTAAAACAGGGTCCAGAATAAACAAGGCAGGCATTCCTGGCACTAAAATGACTTTTTCTTTGTTCATTAGTTACATTTCCAGGCATTACACATGAATTCCATTTTGATTTTTTATTCACACAAATAATTTTTATTTACGACCGACTTGTTAAAAAGACTCAAGAAATCGTAATGACACGATTGCAAATAAACCATACCCCCGGCCGGGATTGAACCCGCGGTCATAGAGTCTCAAAACTCCAGCCCGTCGCGTTAGCCGCGGGTTCAATCCCGGCCGGGGGTATGGTTTATTTGCAATCGTGTCATTACGATTTCTTGAGTCATGTTGACGGCAGTGAAGGGACTTGAGCTAGAGTTCGTCACGGCCACGCTAGCTGGAGATTCGTCTGTAAAAACTTGCATTTGTGGTCACAGAGGTGCCTGTGCTAACTTTCCTATGGTGTAGAAATATACCTAGTTGGATGAATCTTATTGTGGCTAGCTGGTCTAGTGGCTAACGCGACGGGCTGGAGTTTTGAGACTCTATGACCGCGGGTTCAATCCCGGCCGGGGGTATGGTTGACTTGTTAAAAAAAAAAAAAATTGTTTACACAAAAAATAGAAGAGATACTGTTATGCAATATTGTAATAATTGTATAAATAATATCAGCACACTCGTGAATGCATATCACACCCATAAGTTGACATGTATTGGATGAGTGACATGATTTGTTTACTCTTGAATATCGGTAAAAAAGCGAATATTTTCGCTATTTTGAGCTCAATTTCAAGCTATTTTCAGTCCAAAAATCCATCAACATCTTGTCTATTTCTGTAATATATCTTCCATTCTTTCAAATGAAACCAAGAATCCAAGAAAACAACCATAAAAACCATAAGAAAATACACTGCTAATTTGCTCTTTAAACCAAATACAGAGCTGCAGATTTTTTTTCTCATTATGAGCTGAATGCTGCAGGATTTGTTTTATGTGGTGCACACTTACTGCAACCAGTAACTTTAATTACTACACAGCAGACCAAGCAAAGACATTACTCAGTGCAAACAATAACATAACCATCTTTAACTACAATGTCAGATTCTTGAGCAAACATTATGATGACCTCACAGCATTACTCAGTTCCCTTAATTCCAATATATCAATCATCACACTCCCAGAAACCTGGCTTAAGCCTCATATTACAGATTTCTATACCATTCCTGGCTACATGGCCATACACAACTGTAGAACAGACCAGCAAGGGGGAGGAACAGCTATATACTATTCAAATCAACTCGATGTATCAATAAATCTTGCACAAGGGACGGACATGGAGAATATATCATAGCCAAATTTAAATCAAAAGACTTGCAAAAACCCCTCACAGTTATAAACATCTACAGAGTACCACAGTCAAACATCACTTTAGTGAAAAACTAGGAAACATGATTACTGATGCACACATGAATAAAGACCACCTACTACTAACAGATGATTTCAACATAAACATACTACACGACCAGGACCCACAAGTAACTGAATTCACAAACACAATGAGTAACTGCCTGTTGCTACCAGCAATATCTAAACCTACAAGAATCTCCGAGACAAGCATCTCCTTAACAGACCACATCTGGACAAACACCATATCCCCTTTAAAATCAGGCATAATCACGGACAACACTACAGACCACTACCCAACCTTTCTCATAACTAATCTGGGCAAACTACCAAAAGACATTACTAAAGTAACCTTCAGACTACATAACGAGACAGCAGTTAACAACTTTATAGCAGCTATGAATAACATCGATTGGCAAAATGAGCTTGAAACATACACAGATATGAATGAATGAATAAATAATTTTCTAAAAAAAGCCCAATGCCTCTACAACAGACATTGCCAAGAAAAACTAAACAGATCACAGTAAAGAGACTGAATGATCCCTAGCTAACACCAAGCATCCTCAAATCCATTAACAAAAAGCACAAATATGAAAAACAGTATAGAATGGGTCAAATAACTAGAGAACAGTCGAGAAATTACTCGTCAGCACTTACCAGCCTGATAAGGTGGTCAAAAAAATTGTATTATGAAAATAGATTACATAACATCAAAGGTGATATGAAAAAAACTTGGAAAACTCCATCTGAAATTCTTGGAACTAAAAAGTTATCCAAAAACAAAGAAATCAAACTAACAAAATCAGATGAACCCCTACTCACTCCAACCAAAACAGCACTCTTAATGTTTTCTTCTCCACCATAGGAAAAAATCTAGCAAACAAAATACCAAGCACCAATGCCCGTCCATCAGACTACCTCATAGGAACCTACCCAAATATGCTATTCCTAGCTCCAACCAACCCCACTTAAGTTATGCTCATCATAAACACCCTTAAAAACAAGACAGGAGACATAAACAACTTGCCTGTTTTTATGTACAAAAAAGCTTCTCAAGTATTGTCACCAATTATTACAACGCTCTTTAACAAATCCATTGAATCATCCACCTTCCCAACAATCCTCAAAATAACGAGGGTCACTCCAATCCATAAAGGAGGTGACCAAGCTGACTTGGATAACTACAGACCAATATCTAACTTACCACAGCTCTCTAAAATCTTTGAAAAATTAATTCATAGACGGATCTATTCCTACCTCGTTTCACACAACATATTAAACCCTTGTCAGTTTGGATTCAGAAATAATAAAACCATAAATGACACTATCATACACATGCTAGAACTAATATATACCGCACTTGAAAGGAAAGAAGTCCCGCTGGGCATTTTCATTGATTTAAGCAAAGCTTTCTGATACAGTCGACCATGAACTGCTGTACTCCAAATTAACGCACTATGGTATCAGAGGCCACTCCCTCAACTACCTAAAGTCATACCTTAGTAACAGAACTCAATGTGTGTATGCAAATGATGCAAACTCCTCCACCCAACCAATCACAGTAGGAGTCCAACAAGGAAGCGTCCTTGGACCACTCCTCTTTCTCATCTACATCAATGATCTACCGAATGCATCACAGCTACTCAAACCCATATTATTTGCAGATGACACTACATATGTATTTTCCCACCCAAACGCAGTCATACTAGCAAACACACTCAATGCTGAATTACAGAAAATATCTGCCTGGATGATGACTAACAAACTTACCCTGAACACTGATAAAACCTATTTCATTCAGTTTGGAAACAAAGCTGCAAATGATCTAATTATCATTACGCTAAATGGATCATCAGTCACAAGACTCACAGGGGGAAAATTCCTAGGTATCTACCTTGACAGTAGCCTTAAGTTCCGGACACACATACAACAAATCACCAAGAAAATCTCCAAGACTGTAGGCATACTATCAAACATAAGGTACTACATTCCACAATCAGCTCTCCTCACAATGTACCATTCACTCATATACTCTTATCTTACATATGGAATTTGTGCATGGGGATCAACAACATCCAATCACCTAAAACCCCTAATAACCCAGCAAAAGGCAGCAGTAAGAATGATAACAAATCCCCACTCTTGCCAGCATACTCCACCAATTTTCAAAAGTCTGAATCTGCTTACCATTAAGAACATCCATACTTATTCATGTGCCTACTACATACACAGAACAATACACGCAAATATAAACCCACCACTCAAACTTTTCCTCACCAACCTAAACAGGACACATGACCACAACACAAGACAGATCTCTTTTTGATATACCTCGTGTCCATATCACACTGTGTAAAAACTCTATGCACCTAAAGGGCCCCAAAATATGGAATTCATTACCAGAAGATATTAAAGTAACCCAGTCTGAAAATCAATTTAAGACTCTTCTCAAAAGCCACTTAATCACCCTAGACTAAATGCTAAATACTCAGTACACACTTACTCACCTATGTACTCCCACATCATAACTGAAACAATCACACAACCTTTTATCCATTGTTGACAAGAATATAATTGAATCATTTTTTTCACAAAAGCATTTTAGAATATAAATACGTGTATCTTCGTATTATACAAATTTTGATTCATTTATAATTAATATTCTACCGTACAACTATGAAATAATTACTTTCCTACTGTACAACTATGATATACTATTTCTTAGTATTAAGTAGAATGTAAGCCAATAATGTTAAGTTGGCCCATAACGCCAAGGCATAATAGAGGCTCTCTTTGCACTGCATCCCACTACTGTATATACACAATCTCAATGTACTGTTTGCAAAGACATTAAATAAATAAATAAATCGACCCACTCTCTCATATCTAGGCCCAAATTTACTGCTGACAGCTTATCTGAGTTAGCCGAGTTCATCACGCAGAACTACAGCACGGACATTGGTTTCAAAGCCGTAGAACTACTGCACAGACCCTCAAAGAGTTAAAGGCCCCCTATTTTCATTTACCCCTGGCACCCCAGGGGTAAATGAATGTACAATAATACAAATGCAATTTACTGGTAGAATAATACAAATGTCAAAGAAAGTAATGACCCTTTACCAACTAGTACAAATATCCAAGATAAAATTAAAATAAGTACCTTTACTTTGAGATTCTTCAGTGGTCTGTGCCTTGAGGAGTTCATGATACCTTGTGAGACAAGTCACAAATACTTCCAGCATACCCACTTCACGGTACACATCCTTGAAAACACCATTGTGCCTGAAATGAAGTTTAAGGTCAAGTAAACTTCCTATTAAGTAGGTTGAGAAAGGTTAAAAGAAAATGAAAAAAGTTAATTGTGAGATTTAAATAAAATTAAGAAACATTAAGGTCAACTCTTGACTTATTAATGTCAGCATTTTCCTATCAAATGCTCTCACACGTTATAAAAGCTGACTTTTCATTTTTAGAATCCTTTCACCACTTTTTTTTATCCTTATTTTACAAACTGTGGTCTCTTAATCTCCCTTTTAACAGCATAATGAATTTGTTATCTCCTCATCCTCTCTTGCATTTCTTCCAGTCAACGAGAACATCTGTTAAGCATTGTACCTTTTATCATGTAACAACAGGAATAATTTGGAGACTACACTTGCCACAACGTGGCAAGTGTAGAATATTATTATTATTACTGCAGTGCTAAAACTTATCCTGAAGATAATAGAGACAAACCTACCCATCTAATGGCATAAAATTTACAAAAACTATACGACAGACTAAAGATTGGAAATGGAACACCATGCACATGACTTCATTTACGTAGCTATAAATAGATGGGGAAACACATTTAATACCTATCATCAATGAAATTTATCTCAAAGTTCAATTTTATTAAATTATCTAATAAACACACACTCCTCTGAAAATTAAGCACACAGTATCTGTCAAGTCCCCAAACTGTAAGTGTACTACAATTCTGCATCAAGAATGAAGATATAAGACCATTACAACCACTGCAATAAGTAATATAGTTCAGTAGACTGTCAATCAGAACCGGGGTTACATTCCTGAAAATATATGTTTACTCTAATTTAATTGGTAGACAGCAACCACCCAGGGAAGTACTACCGTCCTGCCAGATGACTGTGAAACAAAAACCTGTAACTGTTTTGCATGATGGTAGGATTGCTGGTTTCTTTTTCTGTCTCATAAACACGCTAAGATAACAGGGATATCTTGCTACTCCTACTTACACTTTGGTCACACTTCATAGACACGCACATGCATATATATATATATACATACATCTAGGTTTTTCTCCTTTTTCTAAATAGCTCTTGTTCTTTTTTATTTCTTCTTTGCCCCTGGGAATGGAAAAAAATCTTT